GCATCCCTCGTTTCCTGCCTACATCCAAACTTACTCCCCTAGTCTCTGCTTGTGTAGAAGCAAACTTCATGTGTTCATACCTCACTGTCTCTAGACCAGAAACTATGGTATTCCTTTTACCTAGAGCATGATCTATTACGTAGTTATGTAACAAACCAACCAGAAAAACACAAGTCTAAAGAAATCCTTCTAGGCATTCCTAACAATGTAATGCTATCAAATAACTTCAAAAAGGTCAACTGGGGAAGCAAGGGCGCCCTGGCAGCATAGTGGTTACCCATCAAGCCAGGCTGTTAACCACAGGGAGGGAGAGGAGCTTTCCTGCCTCAGGTAATCCCACAGGGGCAGCTCTACTCTTTCACTACAGGGTGACCTTGAGTTGGAATCAACTCAATGACAGTGAGGTTTTGTTTGGTTTGGGTTTGAGCTTGAAGAAAGAAAGCACCTTTTAAGAAGGCATTACTCTTCCGTTTGAGGCTTACTGACTACATACTCTGAAACACACATGATCAATTTATGCCCATCCCCTCTAACTTCTACCCCCACAGATCCATCCATTACATGCATCATCAGTATGGCCACCCACTGTGTTACTAATGCACTCCCAGATATGCAAACTCATAATGAGCATTCATTACAGTCAATTCTGCAGGTGGGTAGAACAGTGGAAGGTCCCTGAGTGGATGAGTGGGAGAGTGAACAAATCTAAATGACAAAAGATAAACTGGAGGAGTTTTAGGTGAGCAAGAGTTAAGGCCTGAAGAAAACAACTATCTAAGTCTAGAGTAATATATTGTACAAAGAAAACTGTCACTAATGACTTGGATGAGCAAATCTCTTGGGACCTCATCTATATACTATGGAGGCTGAACTAATATATAATTTCATAAAAATTCATTATAGTTCTTAAGTTCTGTTAGCCTACAGAAAGACTTGATTTTAAATAAATGTATCGCTACTGTTGTATTAATGTCTTAAATTTCATCACGGTTGAAATCACAGCATTGATGATTGTGCTCTGAGAACTATGTTTGACGCCGAGGGTCTTGTCTTTGGCAGACTTCTACAACTGAGTTTGTTTTCTTTAAGTACTTATTGGAGTGTGGAAAACGCAAACGACTGCCACTGAGTGACTCTGGTTCGTTGCAATCCTCAGGGCAGAGGAGACCTGCCCCTGTGGGTTTCTGAGACTGTACATTTTTACAGGGGTAGAAGGCTTTGTGTTTCTCCGTTGGAGCAGCTTGTGTGTCAAACTGCTGGCCTTGCAGTTAGCAGCCTAACGCGCCAGCAGACTCCTGGCGGAAGGAAAAGGGCAGCGGAGCGCCACCTCGGGAGGCTCGGGAGGCTCCAGAGAAGAGGTACCCCAACACGAGACTTAAAGGAGGGGCATGAAGGGCAAAGTTCCCGTTGAGGTTCTTCTGGAAAATGTTAGACGCCAAGCACAACCTACTAGTGAGCAAATACGATGAACTGTTTTCTTTTAAAGTGGAGTTTTCTTTTAAAGTACATGCCACCAACAACATTGTTATTAAAA